ACCGAGGAAAATTGCTAAATAAAATAAAAATATAATTATATAATTATATATTGTACAATATAATTATAATTATAATTATACAATTATATATTACATAATATAAATATAATTATACAATTATATATTATACAATATAAATACAATTGTAATTATATTGTTATCTTATTTAGCAATTTATATTTTATTATATTTATATTGTGTAATATATAAATATAATAAAATATAAATTGCTAAATAAGATAACAATATAATTACAATTATATTTATATTGTTAATATATAATTAACCATATTTATATTGTGTAATATATAATTGTACAATTATATTTATATTATATAATACATAATTGTATAATTATAATTACAATTATATTTATATTATATAATTTATAATTTATACAATTACATATTATAATTATGAAAGTATAATTTATAATTTTACGACAATCGTGGCGCCTCTTTTATTCTGTTTTGTACAGATAAAAACTGGATAAACTCTCTGAAAAGGCCAGTAATTTTTCAACGTTTTCAACGTTGCAACTTTTGAAGTTTAAACAACCTTTCATTTTTTTTCTTACACTACTAACTTACATTTATGCGACGAGAGATGAGATAACGACAATGCAGTTAGATGATTGCGTGTTTGTTTTTTGCGCCATGTACGGTAGTCGCTGTGTACACGTTCAGATACATTTTTTTGTGTAACCAGTCGCGAAATACCTGATTTAATGAAGTTTACCGATACGATCTGCAGACGATGTGAACCAGCCGCCATTGTAATATTTTGACAAAGGATTCCGTCGTCATCCACGCGAGGATGGTCATTGCTCCGAATGTTCCGCAAGGTCTTTCCGGGGGATCGGAGTTTTTTTAGCTAATCAAGGCGCAGTTTTTGTTCCCCGTTGACGTCACTTGTTTCGAAATCTATGTTGGCGATTCCACGATTCCGAGATGGATCATCGTAAAACAAACAAGGAAACGCTTCGAAATATATTCACCTCGCGGCATTTTTTGTCGTCGAACTGCAATTAATAATTCGAGGTAACAAATCGGTTCGACATAAATCATCTCCATGGGTCTGCAGACTGTTCCAAAAATGTTAAATTGTTATTCTCTAATCTGCAATGACTCAAAATGCCAAACTCAAAAATGTATTTGTTTCTGTGTAGAGCACTTTCACTACGAATGCAATATTTGATACAATAGATCAAATATTTACGCACATTTTATATTTTACATTTTAACACAACGTTAAAATAGCGACGCAACTATTAGAAATATATTCTACGCGCAGGATTACCCATTTAAATTTATTCTAAAAAAATGTCTCAAACGAAATTTGAATGATTTTAGGGGGACGCGTAAATTGACATAAATAAATACGTGACATCAAAAATACGACCTTCGGGCTGAGTGCAATGATTTATTCTTGTCTCTAGAAAAGATGTTGAAATTAAAATATCTTCGAAACCAATGATTTTTCGCAATAAATGTCTCGGTATTTTTATGAAGAGAATGACAAGCCGAATCGACTAGCATAATCAAAAATGTATGATGCCGTTTAAAAAATATAAATTACACCTTCGTATGTCGTTGACACGTTATTAATATCAGATTACCC